ACACACACTCTCTCTCTCTCTCTCTACCTCGATGGGTTCGCGCGAGAGACCTCTCTATTTATTTCTTCTCCATTTCCTTTCTCCTCTCTTTTCCACTTTCTATCTCTCCTTCTATGGCCTCCCATCTGTCTCTGCAACTCTCCCAATTTTTCTACCACGCGTAAGCTCTTTCTCTCTCTATATATGTATATATATAAACACACACAGATACACGTAATGATTCAGTGAAGTATATGTGATGCTACACTGTTTGTATATTTGTATATGTTTGTACTAATTTTGGACCTGCAACGTTAAAAATTTGAATCTACTGATATCTGATGAGTGATCTGCAATTAGAATGTTTTTTGAAAAAATTCTGGTTTGAATTTTGATTTCTCATTAAGTGATACTTCAGCAATTGGAAATTATGGATTGATTTGTTCTAAAAGGGTTTTCTGTAGTTCTATTAGTAGTATAAGCGCTTCTCAACTGCTTTTGGTTGAACTCTTGTGTAGAATTTAGATCTCGAAAATGTATACACTCTGTCTTGCATATTGTGTTTGTCTTCTTTGGATTAATTGGGTATATGTTAGTTGAGATTATATAATGTCTTATTAATCAGTATAATGTCTTATTAATCAGCTCCAAAAAAATTAAACCCATGTGAATGCTTCTGTGGTTGTTATTTATTTCTATCGAGCTGTACAATTCTGCACTCACCCACCCTTCAATTTATACAGAGAGTAAGTTGGAAAAGACAAATTAATTCCAAATTTAAATCTGGATTACTTGATAGAAAAAAATAATAATAATAAATAAAGCAACTGTGCCTAATTCAATTATTTAGCTTACTTGAGTAAGGTTTTGTCTTTCAGGGAACCAGACCAACAAGGAACATAAGATTCAAAATTTCCTGTTCTTTTCTTTGTCACCGTTTCTTAGTAACTAAAGAGTGCGTCCGAGGAGACAAAGGCCCTTAGATTTTGTTTCTTTTGGAAATTCTGGATGAGAAAAGCTCATTTTTGTCCTTCTCTTCATGTGACAGAAAACCTTTTGAATCTGAAGACAGAGAAAAGTTTAGAGCTGATGCCTCTTCTACATCAAAGTTCAATGTAAAAGAGCACTACAATTGTGGCTCTCTGAGGAACAACGTTTCACATGGATTTCCGCTTACACGTTACACATTTTCATCACGAATTACTGCACCAAAATGGTTTCCTTCAGGAGCATTATCATCCTATGCTTCATCACCTGGCTCTGACCAAACCAATCGTGAAGACAAGCCTTCTGTGGCTACAGCTTACAGTCATGAAGTGGAATTCAACCGGGTTAATTGTCTTGTATGGGTATTGCATGAATCTGCTAGGAGTTTTTCTCTGGCGATTCAAACACTTGAATTGGCTGGAAGTGGTCCAGAACTTGCAATGGCATGGGTAGGGGTGGATGTGCATGCGTGGCACAAACCCATTGCATATCAGGTATACATGAACAACACAATAGTTTTGGCACCATGATAGTTTCTCACTGAAGCATGAAATATATAAATCTGAATAGCATGTGAAAATGTATTACTTTCATTTTTTGGAATCTTAAATGCTGCCACTACTTTTTTCATGTTTGGAATAACACTTATGTGCGCTGGTGCATGGTGTAGCATATTTCTTTTCCAAAATCTGACCTGAACGATTAATTTAGAATTTGATGATTGAGTGGAGGCAGAACATCCTCGTTGAGTCATCAGCATTCATGCAGTAAATGGAAAAAGCATCACCTATTAGTGTGTTTTACAGGTAGCAGTTTATGCTTTACTGAAAGCAGCAATCGAAGTCGAGTTGTTCCTTTCTCATAAACGTTTCAACAACCCTTCGCCAGTTCGTGAAATGTAAGTACCAGATTACTTTTTCTGGAGACTTGTTGTCACTCAATCTGCATGACTTGTGGAAGTTGCAGTAGTTAAACTCATAACCAATTACCTGAAATGCTGAAAATTCCAGATACTTATTCCACTTTCACCACAGGCACACAAGTCACCTAAAACTGGAATTCGTATAATAAATTTTTGTAATACCTATGCTTGATTTTTTCCTTTTGATCTCAGATATGCTTCTAGAAATTGACTGTGTACCTAAAACTGTTATAAGTATTACCCAAAGTCTAAATTAAACCTCTGCTTAAGATCCCATGATTGTCTGTTAGGTCTGACATATTATTCCTTCATATGGTTCAGCTTGTACCCAACTGTAAATTATCTTGAAGAGTGCATTGAAGGTCAATTGAACAGGAGGCATTCGAAATTGGTACAATGGTTTAGAACTGTGGAACTACCGCGAATAGCAGGATTGTTTATTCCCTTATTCAAGAAATGGTCTATGGAATATGCAGGAAGGTTTGCTAATACAGTCCTCTATATCTATAAGATTAATTATATCTATGTGCATTCTATGATTGGAGGATGGAACAAAAATAAAAGTATAGATCTTGTTTTGATCAGTAATCATCCCAACCTCAGCCCTATTGACCCAACAGTGGATTTTATTCTTTCTGCACATTAGTACACATTTCCTCTGGTATGTTTCACCATATAATCGGCAGTTACGGATATAGTCTAAACACAAATGTATTCAGTGGTGTTGCAGGGATAATTCTGGCTATAAGTTGCTGTGCTGCAGTGAGGAAGTTGGGTCCAAGGCGAGTTTCTTGTCCCTTTTTCTCAGTATCAACTGAAGATATATTAGTAGAGCTCATGAACTTGTCGCATAGCCTTGTCTCGGTGGATAAGTTGTACCACTTAGCAACTGAAGCAGGATTTGAGCAAGAATTCCTGTCCCATTTTGGTACAAAGATTTTGCCTTGTAAGAATACTGAAGAGATAGAATTTTGGATTGGGTTGGTTCATGAAAAACTTTTTGTAGCATTCCACAGAGAGAGTGTAATTTCAGGCAAGCTTTCTTTTCGCAACAAGGTTAGTTCCCTGATTCGTTTAATAATCACCCAGATCTCATGTGAAATTGCTTGGAAACAATTAGCTAATCTCAGTTGCATTTTCTTTATAATTAAGATTTTCTATTGAAATTTGTTTTACTTGGATTGAGTAATCGTAGAAAATGTTATAATTTTAAATCCTGATTCTCCATGTGTGTCTATTTCGAAAAATACGAGACCCAATCTAAAAGTAAAGGTACCCATTGTTGGTCCTGTCAAATGGAGTACTGGAAGAATGGACTAGGTATGGACATATGACTATTCACAAATCGAACCCTGAGGGGAACTTTATCCCAGACTTTTAAATTTTAAGGAACTTCCTCCAATGATTAGTTCTATCCTTTAATCTTCATTTTACTAACTTCGAAATTGCTCTCTGAAATGATTTACATGTTGACAAATTATGCTATCTTTGTATCCTAGAGTGTTCTCAGATATAGAATCTTGTCAGGTTCAAGAGAAAAGTTTGGCTACTCTGGGACTTTTTGCATATCTGGGAAGAGAGACGAGAGTATTCTTGTCAGGTATGGGTATAAAGGATCTTGACGAGCAGGTGAAGGATTTCCTCAGGTAGATCCCTTCAATTTTGGATCACACAACTTTTCCATGTTGACCTTGAACAGAGAAACTAATGCATTGACTGCAGCTACTTGGAGTGTGGAAGCCTTTTCATTTGTCCTGAATTTTCCTCCCTATCAGAGTATCAGCTCTTCATGGAGGTTAGTTTGATTTATACTTGAGGCATAAAATCTGAACCATCCTGATGTGATAACTTTGCTGTTACAGGTAGTCACTGATGAAATTAAATGGCTTGATTTTTATGCTGCATTTCGTGGAAAAATCAACCAAGAGAGAAGAAGATCGAAACATCATGCCAACCAAGCGGAGAAGGAGATTGTCATATATACTGTTTTTACTATTTGCTATGATGTTTTTTCTGGGTTTGCTCACTATAGCAATTCAACTAAACAGCCATTGGATGAAAATTTACTTGCATTCTTGCTCCGGAGGTAGTATATATTTGCACAAATATATTATTTTGAATTTTTTTAACACCACAGTTACTTGGCCTCTAACTGACTCTGCTGTCAAATTTTATAGCCAAAGCCTGCTTTCTATTTGTCTGGAGGATTACTGGGCTGCTTATGATAAATCAAGGTCTGTTGGCTGTGCTAGTTAATATCTGGCTTTTTATTGTTTATTGCAATTGGAAGAGCAAGTGCCTCAAAAAAGATAATCGCCTTTGTTGATTTTCTCTGGCAGTGAATTGCTAAAATTTTCGGAAAGAGATTCCGATAAACCAACACCATCTTTAAGAAGTAAAGGCTCAACAAATTCATCTGTAAAATTGGAGGCACAGCAAAAACCAATTGACTTGATAAACAGGGGAAGTCATCAACGTGGATCTAAACTGAGTAAGGTGTGACTGCAAGATGGATGAAGAGTTGTCATGACACCTTTGTTTGGTTATCAATAATATACAATCCCAAATCATGTGGCTCAGAATATATAATGCTGGGAAAATAACAGTCCCTATCAAAAAATATAATGTTCTTTTTTCTAAACTAAATCTCGTTTTTCCTTTTTGGGTATGTGAATATTTTGTTTATTACTTCTATGGCATACTAAAACATTTTAGGACTAAAAAAGAAGCTAAGAACCTAACAGCCTTTAGTAAGTGACATGATGTAGTTTGCACTTTCCCTCAGTAAGTCCATTACAAACTTTGTTTAACTGAACTTTGGTAAATATATTTATGTTTGTCCATAGGTCCAGGTGCTCATACATACTTTGTAAAAATGGCAGGTCAACAGCTCAGCCGGAATGGATCCAACAATCCTTGCAGATATGGGGACAATCCTTGCAGATATGGGGAGTGCTACTGAAACAGGGGCCCTGCATAATAGTTTCCTTAGGAAATCCACTACCAAGCTGGTATCAGCAAGCGCAGTAAGAACAATGACCCTCGGCATTTTGTTGGCTTAATTTGATGTCTGATTGCTAATATTGCCAACTGATCTGTCTTACAGGATATATGGATGGGTAGTCAATTGCTCTTCATAGACATCTTGGATGCTCTAGGAATTCTTATGAAGCAATTGCAAGGGCACAAGGTTACGGAAAGGGAGAGGAAAAAGATTCAAAGAACAGTGTCTGATATCGCTACACTCATCCCAGTTACAATCCTAATGCTACTTCCTGTAAGCACCTTTAACCTTTTACTTTCCAGTCATTTTCTTGAAGCCGTAATTGTTTCTGCACTGGTCACTGTTCAATTGTAACCCGCAGTTAATTAGGAGAATAGGTCACTAAACAAAGAATTACCCACCTTAATACAAGTGTATGTGGACAAAACAGAGAGAGTTTCAGAGAGCCTGTGTAGAAAATCCGATACAATCATCAGATCTTTGATTAGTAATGACATGACAGTCCGTCTTATATTCACCCATTGTGTAAAAGATTTTCCAAACCATTAGGACCAACTGCAGTGTCGTGGCATCATGCTATGAGGGTGCTGGCATTGTTTAACCAATGTGGGAGCTGTGTCATTTACATGAACTGTTGAACTGCACAACTGCTAACAAGACTTATCCTTGGATGCTTTAAAATGCAGATCAATAACCGCATTTTACAATGTTCCTTGAACATAAATGCATGGAAATTCCTGCTTCAGATGTGAATCATTTCAGAATCAATCACCTTTTGTTTATTTGTTATTGTTTGGAATATGTAGAAACTTCCAAAAATTCTAATGTGATCGGAAAAAATCCTTTCAAACATCTAGCCATAATCAATTCTTTCCTCGACTTAGTTGTTTGCTGGATGAAATCTTCTACTCCATTGGCCTCCCATAGAGATGACTTAATTGTTTGAAAGGACTAAGAAACGTGATCCATGCTGGTAAGTTTTAATTAGAATTTGATGAAAAGCTTACTAAAACTTCTTTCCCTTGTGTGTGACTAGGTATCTGCAATAGGCCATGCTGCCATGTTTGCAGCAATCAAGAGATACGTGCCATCCTTGGTAAATTGAGTCAACTTTTACTATGTTCTCTTCTTTTGAAATCATCTCTTTCATCTCATCTTTTTTACATATTTGAATTTGAACTAGATTCCCTCTCCATATTCATCCGAACGGCTGGATATCGTGAAACAACTGAAGAGAACTAAGAAGATGGAAGTTCAGACATGGAGCACCATTGAAGATTCTTCCTCTACAATCCTCTGATGTGAATCATCTTCCCTACTTAATGATGCAAAGCAACTGTATTCTCTTAATCTCTTTGCGTTGAACCAGAATTATGCATTCGGAGTCTGTAAATAGGTGAATGCACATGCAGATACGATTAACTACAATGTAAAAGTACTTTTAGAATGTATAATTTTAGACTTCCATATACAGACATGACCAAGCTGTAGAATGAAAACCTATTATACAGCATTTACATCTAGAACTTATTAAGTATTGTATATGTCATTAATATGATCCTTTGCAATAGTAAACTTGCAATATATCACCAAACTCGTGCACATAATGGTGACAATAGACACGGTTGAATTGTTTCTTAAACCCAACAAACAGACTCTATTCTGTTTTAGTTACATCAATGGAAATCCGACCCATTTAATCTACTTATTTAAATTGTTCTCTTTTGAGTTTTGATGCAAAAATTTAGTTTAAAATGTATTTTCAAAATTACTTTCAATAATTTCTGAACATATTTTTGTCACAATCACATCATCAAGTTGCAAACTAATCCAATTGACGCTGAGCCAAAATAATTAATTTAAATGTAACAAAAAAATACTAGTATAACTCAAACTGACCCTTTCATTGGCAGAATAAGATCGAAACTCAAACCTGATACTATCAGATAAACGCATCTAGAACCTGACATCTTAAGCACAAAGGGATGGTTGAGAAGCCAAGTCATGAATTGCCATCCTAATATCTTTCTTATCAAATACTATTCAAAACAATGCAAAGTTCCAGTTCCAAACCATTTATTTTACTTGTTGCAACTTCCATGATAGTCACCAAGACTACCCTATCTTTTATCGCTGAATCTGGTTTGTCAAGGGGCAGAAATTTTTTTTTTTTTTTTCACCTGAAAATCATCAGCAGATATGCCACATCTATGCACAGCTAAAAGATGCAACATTTATCTCCAGAATGCATGTGACATCAGTAAAACCAATAAAATGAAGGTCATTGTTCAACAACGAAGACCCTGCCTATATATCGGGTCCTAGAAGGATAAGTTGGAAATGCCCTATCTTTTCAACATTATTTTACACAAAGTAAGTGCTTTCAAAAACTCCAACATGCATTCTCACACTAGCAATCTGAGCCAAGCTTTTTCAAGGGGAAGAAATGCAACCAATGCCTCATTACAAAATCCAAAACTAGGCCAACTGCACAACTGCATTCTCACTCATCTCCCACCCCACAATACAAGAAGACACCCATGAACTTCCTCACCCACTCTTTTCAGTTCCAGAAGTTTCCCTGAATTTTATCAATTAAAATACAGTTGCCAAGGAAACATGATCTTAACATCTGCAAATGGAACATTATTGCAAAAATAATATATGATCTTCTCAGCTTAAGGAGAAAAACCAGCTGCAATCATAATTAAGCTGTTGTTGAGGTGACAGAGTCCATGAATTCAATCATCAGCTCTACGATTCAAACCACCCTCTTCGGATCACGAGCTGTTGCCAGATGATCCTGCAATACCAATAGAAATTTCATAAATCATATAATCAAGGAAGTCGTTTGGATGTGATAAACAATTTCTTGGATAATGGAACTGATTGATACCTGATAATAATGATAACAATGGAACAGATAAATATTTTCATTCTTAATTTCTAGATTACAGTATAAAACCATGTATTGCAGAAAAATAAAAAATCTAAAATTGTGCAGCAAGGCATGCATTCTAAAAGACACCTCTTAACCAGTTTTTTAAGTGAAAGAGCAGCAAAAATGCTTTGAGTCAAGGTGTTGAAACTGCTGTCACAAGAAAAGGTTAAGAGCTTTGGCATGACTTTAAGGATCCACCTACTAACCACAAATGATAAGCCATTACCTAGTGCTGGCAGTGTTAACTACAGGGCATGGTTGGAGGCAATGACCGGAGACCAACCTAACTTTTTCAGCATTATTTCTGCACAAATTGGCTGCTCTCAAACTTGAATTAGCAATCTCATGCTTATCAACTCAAGTTTTCACCATTGCACCAAGCAATAGCCCCTACTAGTCTCCAAAAACAATATAAAAATATGCCCTCTCTAAATCAACTTTCATCCTCCTCTTATGATGTCCCCGTGCTATCCCTGTATAAGCTAGCAGATCATCACTCCTCTCACTAGCTCCATCTGCACCTATGAATCACAATAATGCCACCCCCCACACCCATCATGCACACACACAAAATAATCACTAAAAGGATTGGTTGTCAAATGTAAAATATTCACAGGCCAAGAATTTGGCAATTCCAACACAACAGAGACGGCAAATACCATATAATCAATTCAAGAAAAAATAGGAATCTGTTTCTCATGCAAAACTGATTAGGATTCCCAAGTTCATACTGTTTGAAAAAACAAGCACACTAAGACCGTCATATTTATAAAAAGCTTAATTAAAATGGGTGCCTTACAGTATTGGAGAAAAAAACAAAAAGAAAAAATTCATACACATAATTAGGATCATTTCAATCAATTAAAACCAAAAAAAAAAAATTGTATAAAAACCCTTAATTTAAATTTTTGCACCTTTTTCCTTTATTCATGGTTTTCCTACAGCAATAGAACCTAAGAAACATGGGTCAGATACAAGATATGAAGCACAACATAGCACTAACTTGACACGGACAAGGTGAAGACACAGTATAAAATATTTTTTTTTTATATGTAAAAATGTATCATCGTACAAAACATCACTTCAGGACAAGGAAAAAAAAAACACTTCATGACAACTACATCATATTATATTCTATTGAGTGAAATTTATTACTTAACCTTGTCATGTAGGGAAAGTCCTACAAAAGCCTCGACACAGGTGTATACATTTTTTTTCTGTATGTACATAAATATGTATATGCATAACTCCTTTGTCCTCACTCACATGCCTACAGATTTACTAAAACCTCTACATTTTTATCTTTTAATATAGTAAAAACTTTTATAAATTTTCTATAAACCTTTAATTTGAAATTTGTTTCTTGAAATTGTTTTTATTCCATACTAAAAAGAAAGTCTTACAAACATTGGTAATTGGCTGAGAAATGGTGATCATTTATCTGAAATTATCAAATTTATTAAAAAAAAAAAAAAAAAGTCCAAATGTATTTGACACGTGTCCAAAAATGTCTAAGGAGTAAGAAGTATCAAGGTCCAAGACCTGTGAGTGTTTCTAGAAGTGTCGGAATTTCTTAGGTCATAACAAAGATAGAAGGGGTCTACAATGTGTAAAGAACAAAATCATGTTTTTGACGATGAAAGTGAGATATAGGAACTAGGAAGAACCAATTCTAGATGGCATATATATAGTATATGTAGTATATGCATATGTAGTCGTGTTGCAAAGAGAGCTTGATAACAAGCACACGGTGCAACCTTTCTGTTTCAAAAGAAATTCGAGTTTGTGACCGAGCCTAAGAGAGAGCTGGCAACACAAGAAAGGAGGAAGAGATTCAATCAAAGGCATTCTGGCCTATGCAGTATAAGAGAATTCTGCAACACAAGAAAGGAGGAAGAGATTCAATCAAAGGCATTCTGGCCTATGCAGTATAAGAGAATTCTGCATGGAGCCTGGAGCACCAACTGCTCCACCAATATCGTTAGCATCATATATATTAAAGGGAGATTAACCCGTTCTCGTCCCACTAAGAATTTCACAAAATTAGCATCATATATATCATTTATGTAACATTTTTTGTGATCCACATGGTTCCATAATAACTAAACAAAAACAGTGGACCTTTCATTTCATTTATAGATACGCTACTCATATGCACACTTGGGAAGGAAAAAAAAAACATTAATTAAGCTGTTAAACAGAAATTCTTTCCACACAGACCATTTAAGCTTCTCTACACACAATCGGCAGTCATAAAGGAGGCTGCCATGGCCAATCACAACTACCCATCCAATGGAGATGCTTTTAGCAGCCAGCATACACAATTATTACTGCCGACACAAGCTGTCTACTGCTCTCTCACATTTTATGCATCCAGCATCAACCACTGGAATCCCAAAATAATTGAAAACAAGAGTATACCAAGAAAGGGCTATATTGCCGCAATACAGACGGCAACCAAAATTCAACACCAAATGGATTGAAAAGGTGGCACACAATCAGATCTTGTTACTGACAGCCAGCTTCAATGTGCCACAATCCAAAATCCAATAAATAAATAAAATAAGAACCAAAACAAGAAGAAAACGAATAAGTAGATGATCATTGCTAACTGGTGCAGATTGGCTGTTGGAAGGAGAAAATAATTTGATAGTGATGTACTCAACAAGGAGCATTCCCTCTATCATTGGAACAAGTAAATGATATTCCTAAAATTCGTAATGCTATGTTAATATCAATTTATAATATAAAAAACTGTAGAAAAGAGTTAGACTCAGGCTTACCGAGATAAAATCAAATGCTCTTGTATCCTCTTTCTTTGAACTGCTCAACATTGAACTGGGAGTTTGAGTTGGAATGCTAGGATTGAAAATGTCAGGAAGGGGTGAAGGAAGTGCCCCTCCTTTAGTTCCAGCAGCAGGACTAACACCTGCATCTTGCATAGGCAGGTTCCCCAGCTGTTGGAAGTTGGACATTGTTGTTAGAAATTGCCCCTGGGCGAATAAATTTCCCATGGCACCATAATTCATTGGCTGAGAAGGAAATACTGGATTTAACATTATGCCGGAGGGTAAATTATACGGTATGGGACCCAAAGGAAACATAGTATTTGCATTCATCCCAGCGGCTTGAGAACCAAATATGCTGTTCAAAACATCGTTAGAAACCGGATGTGTGGGATTCATAGTGGAATCTGGGAAGATCTCAGAGAGTGCTCCATGGGAGGAGGCCCTGTTCTGCTTTGTCACCAGGGTATTTTCATTGATGGACAAACCAGCCACTAAATCATGAACATCTTTTTTATGGTTTGCATCTTCCTGTGGAAGTTGAGAATTGGACCCAAAAATATCAAAAATTTCAGCTTCATTTTTATTTGTGGCAGTATGGATTTCGGCAGCTCCTGCTTTATCAACATCCATCCCTGAAAATAGATCACCTTTGTAACTGGTGTGGAATGAGACATCCGCAAATGGATCATCATCATTTTTCTGTTCACTGTTTCTCATGCCAACAACCAAACTATCTCCAAATAAATCATCGATTACTGCAGTTGTTGATGTAGTTGGATTTGCAATGCTTTGGTCACTCTGCTCTTCCATGGAATTTTTTGTTCCATGGAAATCATCCGAATCACCAGTGTCTATTAAGTTGGGCATCTGAAAGGCGGCTGTCTCAACCTTCACTGGCTTTTCTGAATGACCCATTCTGCTTCCAGTTCGGTCTCCACCTAGAAGGCTCAAGACCTAGTTATCAAAAATCAGATAATTATTTAAACCACAATATGTACACACAAAGAAACTCTGGCAAGCTATAGGTTGTCATTTAATAACTACAAAATAAAACTTATGACTACAATTTTTGTGTATTTCAAAATTATCAGAGATTTTCTTAGCAAAATGGAAATGAAAAATATAATAAATCTACGAGCCACAGATACTTCTAAAAGAGAGTCCGATACTGATACTCCTTGGATACTCAGGAAATGTCTAGCACTTCAAAAACATATCCATAACTTGAAAATAAATTATTTGGAACACATACACAATGCTTCTCATATGTTAGAGATACGTGTCTGACAGGTTAAGAACATAAAGTTTAACTTTTCTAAGTACAATATCACAATACAATTGTTAGGAATATCATCAAAAGATCTCCAAATTCTTAGAATTTGTATAGAAAAAGAAGAAGAATTGAGATAGAATGAGAATAAATCATGTCCACGACCAAGGGTTGTAGCCTAGTGGTATCTCCTCTACCTACCACAGCGAGGCGAGTCAAGTCCCCATAGGGGCAAATGGGTGTGTAAGTTTCTTACCATGAAAAAAAGGGAAGATATCATGTCCAATCCAGTCCAAAGTATGTGGCCATGCATCATAACTCTCAGCTTGTTTGCCACAATTTTTTTAAGGGAATGTTACTAAAAATATTTATAACATGACATACCGCTCAATCTGAGGCAATATCCATATCTCATATCCAAGTCCGTGTCCATGCTTAAAAGACACAAATTAAGAAGTATAAAGTGAAATTTCGTAAGAACTGCAGCGTGTTGTTAATTTTCTTCAAAATTAGGAACTTTAACAACTAAATAGAGTATATATTGTATCAAGAAACACACTACTATTCTTTTCTCCCAGAAAGGAAGGACTTGTGAATCTTCCTGAAATTTCAAAATAAATATTCCTGGTGCAATTTAGAAGACTCAAATAATAAATACAGAAGCAACTCTTCACACATAATGCAAAATCTTGCAGAATACTTAACAGAAAGAAAAATACGAAGTTGACGCCTTCATCAGAGTTGTTTTAGGACGGCCATTTCCAAGCCTAGAAGATGAGACTCCAAAGTGATTTTGTAATAGTCACATGGATACCAATACTCTTTCTAATTATCATATCCAGGCAATCAAAAGTACTAATATCAGTTTTCTATACTAATAATATCATCAATATACATCAATCCCAGCTAAAAACACTGTTACTTATTAGTTAGTAATCTATGCTGCAAGGATCATATGTTGACAATGCCCAGCAAGAACTGAAAACAGATGAGCATATTCGAACGAATACACATGAAACAGATTTTAGCCTTTGGCTGAAAAGGTTGGGGCGCTGCTCACTTCTCAGAAAATAAAACCTCTAACATCTTCAAGGCATTAGCTAGAACCCTCAATTTGTGAACCCTTTGTATTAATGGAAGTATGAACACACCTAAAAGGCCAAAGTGGCTGCGAGTGTCGAACACAGACAAGTGTCGCACATGGCCCGACATGAGTCGGACATGCCAAAAAACGTGTTTGAATAATTTCTTTAAAAGAGGATTTAAAAAAAAAAGTGTGGTTCAAATATAAAGTGTGTGACACTCTTTGAAAAGTATCAATGATAAGGAGGTCAAAACATAAAAAATAAGAAGTTTTTAAAATGCGTTATCAAGTAGTTTTATTTGCTTAATCTTTTTATAGTTATAACTAGTTCGAAATTGTAAAAGATCACAAAGAGAGAATAGTAAGAATCTTGCTCTCTTTCGCAACCAAGCTTCAAACTATATAACAGATCATCAAATCTATACTGTTGGCAAACCTTCTTTTTCTCCTTCAATAAATCCTCTTGTCAGACTTTTTTTCTTTCTTTTTCTTTTATTTTTGTCTACTTCTTCCTACCACAAACCCCTTTCTTCCTCTACATGTTCACTCTCTCAATATCAACAAAGACTTTTCTTTTTCTCAATAACACCTTACTTTACTTATTTCTTTTTTCTTTAACTCTTGGTAAAATTCTCTTTTCTTTTTTCAACAAATCCCTAATTTTAGAAAGGGTTTAGAAATTCTACTTCAGCCAATTCTCTCTCTTTTTCTTTTCTATTTTCTTTCATTCTTTATACAACTGTAATATTTTGTTTATTTATTATTAGATTAAAACAAATTTTATAAATGGAGCTCAAAAATTATACTTCAACCTACTCTCTCTTCTTGAATAGGAGAATTGTTGACGTATTTCATTAGTTATTGTGATGTTGGAATTTTTATTCTTAATTCGATTAAAAAAAAAAAAAAAATCAGTCTTGTAATATATTATGATTATGAGATCATCACAAATATGAAGTATATTACATTATCCTCTGTGTTCCTGCTAAGTCCTGCCTTAATTGTTTAGGATTTGCCATGTCGTCGTGACTGTGTCATCTCGTATCAATGCTTCTTAGATTAAAATATTGAGGTTGCCTCAAAAGTCCAGGAAAATACTGCTGACCCTTGAGAATTTGTCCGTGGTTCCAAATATTAAAATTCCAATCTGGGACGGTCAAGCAGAAAGATGGTGGTTGCTCAAACAACATGCGATCATTTTCTTCCAAGTTGAATGTTTTTGGTGGTTGCCCAGTCATTGTGTGACCATTTTCTTGAAAGTTGAATGCTTTTTATTAACTGGTCAGACCCAGAATGCTATTGTGTTCCCTCCCTCCTTCCCCCAGCTCCTTTTGATCTCTTATAAGCAGAAGTTGAATCAGTTGCAGGCTATAACGTAGTATATGCACGGGATGCGATCCTCAATAGTTCATTGTTGGCAGAAGCCAATATCCCAGGATCACAGGGACTCATTCTGACTGAAACTGAATCAGTTGCAGCTATAAGGATGTGATCCTTAATAGTTCACTGTTGGTGGAAGCCAATGTTCCAGTGTCCCAGGGACTAATATTCACTGTTTGCAAAAGCCTATCTCATGAGGACTCATTCTGACCGAAAAAAAAAGACACAGGTATTTACTAACCTAAAAATATTCGATTTCAGGGAAGCCAAAAAACGTGAGCCCTACTTCTCTCTCTATTTTCATTGGGTCATTTGGGTTCTGTTGCATATCTAGTTTTCATTTTAGTCAATGTTAAATAAAATAATTGTTTATCACCAACAATTAAAAAGAGAAATGGAGTAGATATAAAAGAAAAACCTAAAAAGCATTACCTTCTCAGTTTTTTCCCTCAAAGAAGCTTGGGGAGATTCGGAACATCTCAGCACAACATCTTTATTTTCACTAAAGTAAGATGCTACAGTCATGAAACATTCAACATCCCTTTTCCTCAAAATTGCCTCAAGGACGCACATAGCTTTCATGCGGACCTGACAGAAGTCACAGTAACCAGAAACAAAAAAGTGAGTGAAGCTATTCAAGCGCACCTGTTATAAGCAATTCAAAAGGAAGAAAAAGTGGGGAACTACACCCAGATTTTTTCTAAAGAAACCAAAGCATTTACAAAGTTACAACCAATTTAGAGCTTTAGTGAAGCTAAAAGATTTCCTCTTGATGAATCTGTGTCTGTATGTGCTTGCGTTGGGTAGTCATACTTTTAAACATCATGTAACAATTACATTGTTATAAAGAAAATACCTGCCACAATGGAGATTGTAGCTTTGATTTAAGGGCCTCGCTTAAAGCCAATGTATCCAACTTTAAGGCCTCCATAAGGAAAACCTGGAGGGCATCTCGAGTTGGTTGTAGACGAACACCACCAGAAGTTACAATGGTCTCCAATAGCCTCTCCTCGCAAGTCTTATTCCTAGTAATACTTGAAGCGGACTCCCCATTGGTTGTATCTGTCTTGGTTATCCTCGAGTCTTTACCCCAAGGTCCAGCATCTGAATTCTTTGGGAAGCCATAAGCGCTTTGAGTTTCACTGTGATGTTCAACTTTGTCATATCTATCTGGATAGTTGGTTTCCGTAGTTAATGACCTTCGAAGTGTAGGACTCTTGTAACTTCCATTGTCATTCTTCCTTGACGATTGAGCTTGCGTTAAACTACTCAATCCCTGCTTTATCGTAGCACTTCCAATATCAACCACCTCACTAAGAAAGGATTTCTTATCCTCAGACACCATTCCAAAGTTTGTATTCCCAAACCCTTCTATCCGCTTATTAAGATCTTCTACCGGTGGTGGCTTGTTGTCATCTGCAGAAAATATTGCAGATATAGCTTCATGTGCAGTGTCCCGCACAGCCTTATTGAGTGCATCTCCCTTCAAAGGATCTGACTGACCCTTGTAGTGAAATAACTGGCGCACAGCCACAGAATTTCTTTGCATTTCCCTCCTGAATTCTACACCAGATTTCCCCACTGCATACTTGATCAGCCTTAAGGCCTAGGGAAAATGTAAGAATGAAGAGTATCAGCATATTATTAAAAATTACACCAAACTTTTAGCTTATCTCACTATCTCCTCCTCCTCCTTTAGCAGGGGAGGTTGAGGGTTCAAATCTAATTGGGACAATAGTGGGTCTGTTCGCTAGTTCTGTGTAGTTACCTAAAAAGGAAAATGTCTTAAAACTAAATATCACTAAATTGCATGATACAACTAACTCTCTTTCTGTGAATAACCAGAATGTAACAGCACAGAAGTACATATGTCTATAGAGTACTACTAACCCCATCTAAATTCGCCTGCATATGTCATTGAATTAGAAACGACATGAATTAGAACTTCGGAAAGGTTTTACTCGCAGAACCTCTTCACATAGTTATAGTGTAGAGCCTTGCAAGTCCAACATCTTTACTAAAATATGACCTCATCTTCCCCCTCCTCCTAATAATTATTTTTTCTGCACTTCTAAAACTGGGGGAATCTTTTCCAATGAAACAAATGGCAGTAAATATTCTCATGACAAATCAAACTAAACCCAATTCTTAAGAAGAGATAAGGAGTAAATTTATCTTTTCAACCATGCAATCAAAGACCTGAATCAGCTAATTAGATCAGCACAACCACAATTTACAGATTTTGAATAAAACTAATTTCTTTGATAAGCGGCCATCAGATGACACAATTTTTTAACATATTCAACTAAACTAGAGTTCACAGAAAAACATATATAATACCTTCTGTTTGACAATTGGGCTTTTATGTTCAAGGCGTTTGAAGATGAATTCGGAGACTTCTTTAACGATACTAAAGTGCGAAGACCGAAGAAGCTCGCAAATCTCTTCCAATTTATATACAGGTGTGACTTTATCTTCGTCCGATGTCGCGCCATCTATCATACGCGATCTCCAGTACGATTCCACGGCTCTCCGGCTCGAATCCATCTCTGTGCAAGCCCTTTGATAGCTCGAGTTCAATTGAAAAACCTTGAACAAAGAACTCAAAAAAGTATGGATATATATATATATATAAATTAAAAGCTGTAGGGTAACTGATCGATCTGAACAGCAATATAACTTCGCCGATGGATAGACGCGTCCTTACAAGATCGAGTTCAATTTGATTATACTAACCCTAAAAAGTAAATTATTTTAATTCATGCACGCATGAATTGGATGAATCTGGATAGCTAGGAATTAGGGTTCTTTGGGAAGGAAGGAAGAAATTTCCGAGGGAGAGAAAGACAGAGGTGTCGTGGAAGGCTTCGAAGTGTTGCAGAAGCTTTTTGGAGTACGGACAAATTTGCGAACCCAGATTACCCCGACATGTGGTTCACGTTTAGAGTGGACAGGACACCCCCGAGCATGCTAGCTTTGGGTGGTTAAAGGAGGAGTCAACAAATGCAAGCAGTACTATTGATTATTGAAGTTGAGAAGGAAACCAATTTGAAGTTTGTTATTTTGGGCTCCGGTTACAAAAATAAAAATAAAAATAAAAAAAATAATTTGTTGGGCTCCACTTAGTGTTAATGCCTAATGGGCCAACGGTGATTTTAAAAATTGTAATTATACTAGAGTGTAATTCACCTATTTTTAGTTTTAAAGAATCTTGTTAAGAAATTCCAATATGGTATTTTGTTAAGAAATTTCTTTGTAAATTAGTTATTTTTCTTAGTGTTTTCTTTACTATTATTATTATACTATCACTATTTTAATTTTCATTATCATCATTTTTTTTGGTAAATAAAAAAAGTAAAAAAGACAAATAATATGTAAAGTTTGTTTGGTACTTACCTTTTATTATTGTAATTAGTGATATTAGTAAATATTAAATTTAGAAACTAGAAATATTGATAGTAGTTTTGTATTAAAAGGAAATGATATAGGTGTTTTTGGAATGTGACTATTAAATTTAATCTAACGGTCATTATAGAAAGTGCAGAAGAATTTTCTTGCTTTACGGAAAGCAAAAGATCACTATTCATGATAATAATAATGAGAGAAGTGTTTTTAATACATATATGTTAGTGTTTGGTATAGTAAGTGCGAAGAATTTTCTTCTTCTTTTACGGAAAGTAAGAGATCACTATTGATGATAATAATAATAAGAGAAGTGTTTTGAATACATAAATGTTAGTGTTTGGTCGCATTGATCGGTGCTCTCGATTTTAAATTAGAAGAAATTTAATTCAAAATTTTAATTAAATTTCTTTCAATCTCAAATCCAAACTACGAATTCAGTACTATCAAACATGATATTTTCATTATTTTGTTATACACTATTAAACATATTAGCAACTATCCCTCGTTTAGAATTTTAATGCGAAAAGAGTGTCATAAAAAATTATACTCAGTAATAATAAGAATCATTGTCTGGCGGGGCCAGCATTTTGTTAGCAAGCATAGTGAGATTAAAAAAGTGAATCATTCCATAGTAAAAGGCTTACAAAATCTTCAATTGTTGAAGCACAAGGGGTTAATATTGCTGGTGGATCTTTACCAAGCGAAGGAATATCATAATTTTCCATGCCTTTTTCTTACGATGCATACACCAATTTATAGGTGAAATATGCCCATGCCCTCTGAATGTTGTTGCTGATATTTGCTTTCACATTGATTCTTTCATTCAAAACCCTAAAATCATACCACCAACGATTGTTGGAGATGTATCATGGTTACGTAGAGTAGATCATGCCAACGATGGCTCCTCTCACTTCATTTCTTTTGCCTCAACATCTTTTAACTTTTTTGTAGCTTACAATTTCGAAAAAAAAAACATCTTTTAACTTTTTTAATTCTTTCATTCAAAACCCTAAAATCATACCAACGACTGGCTCTTGGAGATGTATCATGGTTACATGGAGTAGATCATACCAACGATGGCTCCTCTCACTTCATTTCTTTTGCCTCAGCATCTTTTAACTTTTTTGATTCATTCATTCAAAACCCTAAAATCATACCAACGACGACTGCTGGAAATATATCATAGTTACGTTGAGTAGATCAGACATAATAAACATAGAAGATCAACAAGGTAAACCCACTCTTTCAAAGAGTGTATGTATGATTTATGGCTTCGTGATCCTTTGAGGGTCCAAAGTCAAGTAAACCATTACAAAGGAAAAGAAAGGAAACAGAGGAAATTAGAATGATACAATTTAGGCATCATGTATTGGTTTTGTTATTATGTCAAAAGTGGGAGGAAAGGGAAGGAAAGATAATTGTTTTTAATAAAATTTTGTTAATGCTAATTTTGCTCTTATTTTTTAATAAAAGACAAAATCTATAAAAACGGGTATGATAATAAATTTATGAAAATAATTTTCTTTCATTTCTTTCCCAAACATAATTACTATCCTTTTTTAATCAATCAAATACAATAAGTAATTAACAATATCTTCTCCTTTTCTTTTTTTTCTTTTCTCTTCTAACTAATGTTATCCTTTCTTTTCTAACATGCCTCTGCACAGGGATGACAAGCACAAATCAAAAAATTGTGCAATTTTTTTCTTAATAAAAAAAAAATGGAGAAAAAAAGTTGTACAAAGATTCTCAATGAAGCCCACGAAGCAATTTTTGACACACCTCCAACGGAGAGGAGCAGACCTCACCTATTCCATATAGCAAAATTTTGGATGGATAAAGTGAGCATAACCTCCCCATCCTAGGAGGGGAGAGGGTTTGAGTTCGGGTGTGAACAAAAAGTGTGTGGGTGTGTGAGTTTGTTTCTTACAAATAAATAAAATAAAAAAATACATTACTTTGTGTTTGTCATCCCCATCTAGACTGAGTAAAATATTGGAGATAAACCTACATTTGGGATAATTTTGCAAGTGGTAGTCTTAGCCAAATTCAAAATCATAAGAGGCAGTTTCTAATGCCAAAGAATGGTCAGGCCCATATGGCAAAAGTAACTAGTGAGGTATGGGGTTGTTTTACTTTCAAGGAACAACTTCAGAGAGGTCAATTAGTGCCCTACTCAGCCAAAACCAGTCAAAGTATTCAGCCCTTCAAGCAAAAGCCAATGCAGCTTGAAAATGCACAGGCATTCTGAGTCATTTGTGTTTCATAATTTTATTACTGAAGGCGCCTTTCCAAAAGCATCAGTTCTGAAGTAGATATGATGGTGAGAGCTCCTATACGCAATATCAATCTAGCCAGAAGGCTGACGGTTAGGAAATTCATTTTTGCCATATATATATATATATATATGATGGGCCAAACATGGCCTTAATTGCCGCGCATCACAAATATGAAAATCATGAGAACAAATCAGAATTAATTATGAACTATCCGTGTCAGAAATAGGATTGACTATGAATTCAACCCATAGAACACCGTACAGGTTGTGAAGTGTGTATTGAAGATACCTAAATGGCCAAGGGACACTATCGTCCCCCATTGCATGGACTGGGGCTTTTAATTTTCCCCATCTTTCCTTTTAGCCAAAAAAAACTATAAAAACAATATAAAGAAAAAGTAATATAACTCCGGAATCATGCATGAAAGAATAAGTCATTTACGAAGCTGCACCTACAGCGGTTACAACATCATCAGATTCATCAACAATCATCTCATCTCTAAAAAGGAGTTTGAGGAATGGGAGAACCTTTGGAAGCACATGTAGATCCGCTAAGTTAACACTCATCATATCGAAAGCAATGCATGTTTTATGCATGTGAGTTTCATCTAAAACTGGAATTTTAGGGTATCTCTGGCTGAAGTGTGTAAGGATGGTGCGATATGCTCCAGCAGAGTCCCCCACTTCAACAGCCTCCTTTGTCGTGCTGTGGTTTCTTGCTATAGCCTCCTCCACCATTGCATCCTCAAATGTTGCCTGCACAGCGGCCAGAAACCCAGGATAATGTTAGTCCCTTGAGAAAAGATGAGATGGAAGAAATGCTCAGAATTTCTCTCCCCCCGCTAGTATTGTCATTAGAATTTCATGGCAACACAATCAAGAAGAGTACCATTGTAAAAGGGGGACATAAATGGCTCTTCTATCTAGCCTTGTTATGGCAGGATTGTCAGTTGCGCATTTCCCTTTTCGAATAATGCACTCAGATATAAATAACACATGAATGAGCTGGACAATACAAGTACATTTGTAAACCTAATTCAAGGCAAGATACCAAATTCAAGCTTGGAGAACAATGAACAACTTACTTCATGTACCCGGTACATATGAGGAGTATTTGATCTCCGTTATACCACCCATCTTTGAATTTCAGTTTAAGTACCCAAATTCTAGTCATTAGACAGTCGTGACAATAATCAAGTTTTGCTACAGCAAGGCTCAAGCAATGATTCGAGTAAAAAATTAGTCATCTTTTGCAAAAGTCGAAGTTAAAATTTGTCATATCCTTCCTCTTCCAGCAAACGAAAGCTGGATGAGAACTGTAATGGCTCTTTTGTCATGTTTTTTCATATTCTCTTATTTCCATTTTCTAAGTAATTCTTTATTGTAACATCTATATCACATAGAAGTAAGATCTCATAACACTGTTCTAGGGAAGACTAATAGTATTTGAAAACACAACTAGACAAACACCAAAATGCACAATGATATGTGGTACTTGCCTCGTGTATAAGGACTGTTGCTCCATGAGACGCTTTTACTAGTTCTGGGCAGGGCCTAGTGTCACCAGAGTACACTATCTTCCACCCTGGTATCACTTTTCCAACACGACTGATTCTATCTGATGCCTTCAAGACAACACCAAAAGCCTGTGGACAGTGAACAACAGGAAAACTAATCAAAGCTTCTAAACCAGCTTCTCTGAGCACTCTCTTCAAGTTCTTTAGGATAGGAAGAGCCACGCTATTGTCAATAGGACTACCCGGTCTCTTCCAATAGCTCTGCATACGACTTCCTTTAGCAAACAAAGTAGAATCAATATCCTGATTTGTTAGCTCAACCGAGCTTCCATTGTTTTTATTCTCTAAACCATTTGAACTTCCGGGATTGGATTGACCATTATTTGATTCAGAAGCATCCCATAAAGATTCCACAGTGTTCCAGCAATCAAGGAACTGCATATCTAGATCTTCAAGCCTTCGGTATGCATCTAAAAATCTCTTAAGTTGCCTAGGACCAACGACAAGCAAAGGTTCATGCGGCACTCCCTTCAACAAATCACGACGTAGAGCAAGTATTCTTGCAAGACCAGTATGATGATCAGCATGAATATGAGAAATCCATATACACCTTAAACCTCGCACGGCATTATCGGCACCTTCAACACCAAACCTGCTCTTACGAATTACATAACAAATCCAAGTTTTTAAAAGAAATGAGTTTTTCAGAGGAGATAAAAAAAGTTATATACAGTTGAATGTATTTGAAAATTCCTAAAGGTCATGCTACCTTCTTTTTAGCTGTCCCAGGGTTCCTTCACCACAATCCAGGAGTAAACTTCCTTTAGAGAAAAGGTTAATGAAGATAGAACTAACATTTCGGTATTTTGAAGGCTGGGATGAACCAGTCCCCAGAAGAACGATCTCTACATCTTCTCTTGTTATATCTTCTAAACAACTAGGAAGAACATTTTCATCTAACCATGGTTCTTCAATCATCATATTGTTATCTTGCATGTGATTCGTCTCCTCGTTTGTTTCTCTGCCTCCATGCCAGAGCTTGGTAACTTGCTGCGCAGCATCTACAATCTCTGGAATCTCTGAAATTAACTCATCAATAAGTCCAGAGGGAGTCATTAAACTCGGTATACCAGATCGGTCCAATCCAAGCTGTGCATAAGGACGCAAATGGAACTGTTCCAGACATAACAACAAGAAGCATATTACTTATAGGAGTGCACAAATTCACCTAAAACCATCCAGCTTCAAATAAGTCTAAAAGGTTCAGTTGAGCATAAATGCTTGATACTACATATTTTAAAAGAGAGTTTACATTATATAAAGATTACTTTATTTGGATTGGCTGTATCAGAAGTTCAAAATACGTTGCATTACGCAATCTGAATGATGGATAAAGGGTTTTTTCAGAAGAAGTCTCTATTAGTGATAATGTTCAAATGAACAATAAGTTCATAATACAAAAAAAAAATATATATATATATATATACTGATGCCATCAGCTATTGGGAAGGGGAGAAGAGCTCCCATCCAAACTGGATTCAAGGACTCAATTGAACAAAGCTTGAATTTGTTTCAATTAGCGGAAGCAAAGATAACCAGATTTTATATTGGATTAAAGTTTTAACAGAAGCAAAGATATAACAAAAAATAGCCCCAATCCCTACCCCATTTTCTCTCTCTAAATTGTTAAATTTCCACAATCACTTGAATATTTGGTAAGTGGCCAATATGTCCATATCAGTCAACTACTCAACTCTTCATACCTTTAAGAGATTTTCAGCAGAAACGCTTTCACAAAGCTCTGAAACAGGACCCTAGAAGAGAGGAAGCAAGTCAATCATTCATTTGCCCTGAAAATGCTAAATATAACTATCAACTCATAACCTCCCAATAATAAACTAATCAGTGTCCTCCAACAAACAGACCTCATTAAATGCCCCGGAGCTAGATGCTGAGCACTCCAGTTGTTGAAGAGACCAAAAACCTGGAGCCGGAAAGAATTGGGGACACAGGTAATTAAGCCGTGTTGAAATTCTAGCACTGGATTTTAAAATTGGAATCTCGACATTCTTCCTGTGAATAAAATGTGGAATCAGAAATCAGGAATGATAAATGGAAGTAGAAAAATAATTTTATTTATACGGGAGGAAGAAGGTAGAAGAATAACCTTCTAAAAAAAACGAAGAAGAACAATAACTATATTCATTGAAACTCACATCTCATGTCCTGCCATTATATGTTGGGCTCCACCAAATTTTGTCATCCACCTTTTATAATCACTAGTATTTATGACAGATGCAGGACTTAAGTGAATTATACAGTTCACAATCTTGGAACTCTCTGCTCGGTTGCCAGTTGTATCTGTATAATAACTGTTGAGAGACTGTAGAGACAATAATTGTTGCAAATGTGATATTGTCGGGCAGTCAACAAGGAGCACAATAGGACCAGGAACAGAAGGACCCAGCACATCGCTTGGATGAACCTAAATAAACAGGCAAGAAAGGCTATTCATAAAAAAGAATAGATGAGAGAAATATAAACCAAAAAACATATGTGAAAGCAACAGATCTGCACCCACCATGATGTCTTGATAGTCCGATTTCACTGAATTCCCAAGTTGCAGTTCACGATACTTCGGCCCAGGTCTCAATCCAAGAGCCGCCGCTTTGTTGGTGTCAAATTTGCCCTTAATTTCAGGCAATTCACAAACATAAATTACAGAAATGTCACCAGCCTTTAAAACAACCTCGGCTTCACTATTTTGACTTCTTGGTGAAAGAGGTTCCGGAAATTGATCCCTTCTCTCTCCTACACCCAATTCTGAAGCATTTATTGTATTTGGTTCTACCTTCATCAGTTCAGACCCTTCCGAGCCACTTGGGTGCAGAAGAATAGCTGAAATTTTGACAATTTCATCATCAATGAGGATAATAGGGTCAGGAAACTTCCTTGAATCAGGAATAGCAACACCATTAGAACCAGGTGCATGTCCAAAGCTACGTGTGTTAACCATGGCAGCATTAGGGATGAATGATTTCATTGCATCAACTAAATACTTCAGATCTGAGGGACCCCACACATTCACCTTAAAAAAAAAGAAGGAATATCGTATTAAAATCATGTAGAGTTGTTGTTAATCAATTATATCAAGCTTAATCTCAAAGAAAAGACAGACAAATCAAGCCAATTTAACACTCACTGTCATTCCTTCTTCTCCAATGCCAGCCAAAGTTAACAGAAGACCTGAAAGGTAAAGTGAAAAACAAGCAATTCAGGCTCTTGTAATCATCCCCTTGCATCAGAATTCAGATAGTGAAGTAGAAAACTAGGGTTTATGAAATGATATTTGTAACAAGTTGCTATCATATTTTTGCTTATGGGTAACAGACAATGTATGAGTGAAATCTCTGGTCTGATTTCTAGGCACAAACCTGGAAGTCCACCCGCAGTTTCTGAGCAGACACGAGAGAGAAATATGTGATCAATCTGAAGAAAGAAACATCATCATTCCTCCACAAAGAGTATCACAGTCAAACAAGGGGGAACTTCAAAAATGAATCCAGAATAGAAGAAAAGAAACAAAAAATTAGCAGGTATATCATACCTTTGACAACTTAATCTTATGCTCAGTGCAGAAACGTTGCAATCCCTGGAAGAAGAACCACACCATATTGTTTTAAAGCTCTGTAAACTTCCCTTCGAAGAATGATATGTTAAACAAAAGATAGTTCTAGAAGAATCGAGAAGTAATAGTTTTAAGAAAGAGATAAAATAACCGCCTTTATATCCTTTTTACTTTCTCGTACTAGTTCCTATTGCATGGCTGGTCAACCCTATCAGAATTATGATACAGGGGTAAGAAATCGGATGCCACAACCGAAGGTGGACCCGAATTAATTAGGATCAAAACCAAAAAGTTGCATATCTGATTGATTTTATAATTCCAGAAATGAAAGCTTGAATGGCACTGGCTAAGGGACCCGGGGACAAGCCTTGAGTATGATATCCAAAAGAAATCTAAAAGCTTATTTGTCCAAAAAACTTCACTACTATCTTCTATTACAATGCAAATATCCATACAAGCCTCCCAACTTACTTGACCTCTATGTTAAGCTAATTCACCCCTAAGTCACCCTAAGTTGGATATAACTTAGACACAGAATATAAACCATGTCCAATATATAAGAAACTCATGAACATGAACATCGTCAACATCCTCAGGCTCCGTTTGTTTCAACGTAAAATATTTTTTTCTAAAAAAACATTTGACATGTAAAATAAGTTTTCTGTCTTAATTTTTTGGTGTTTGGTAACAATCCTAAAACATTTTCAACAAAAAGAAAAGAGTCAGTCTGCCATTAACTCTCTCTCTTCAGTGTTCCTCTTGTTATCAACCTCCAACAATTCATATCATCTCTCTCTCCAACATCCAATAACCCCCCTCTCTCTCTCTCTCTCTCTCCTCGTTATTTTCTCTCTCCTGCCCCTCTCTAGACCCAAATCTGTCCCTCTCTAAGCCAAACAACCCCCCTCCCCTTCCCCTTCCCCCTCCCCCTCTCCCTCTCTCTCTCTCCCCTCCCTCGATCGATAGTTTCTCTCCTCTCACTCTCTGCGAAAACAGTCTCCCTCTCATGACCCAAAACTATCCCCCCTCTCTCTACGCTAAATAATCCCTCTTTTCTCGGTACTTTCTCTCTCCTCTCTCTCTACAAGAATAGGCTCTCTATCTCGATCGACTGTTTTGTCTCCCTCTTTGTCTCTCCTCTCACTCGATGCCATGTTGGATAAGAATCCGACGGAAGGTAGCCAGGGAAAACAACTTACCCAACCTTTTTTCTTTTTTTTTCCGATAAGTAACTTACCCAACCTTTTTTGGTAAATCAATTACAGTCATTTGGGGTAACATGATTTACATGGAAAATAATTTCCTAATCTTAGAGTCTTCCAAACACCAGAAAAAAAGGAAAACGATTTCCAAAAATATTTTACATTGAAACAAGTGCAACCTTAATTCAAATTCTTAAGATACTCATAAAATCTAGATAAGCTAGATTATTATAAACTAAATCATATTCTTTCTTCTTTTTTTTACTTTGTTTTTTTGTTTTTCCCTTCTTCTCCTCCTCCTCCTCCTCCTCCTCCTCCTTCAGAAGCCCAATGAACCATCCAAAACAGCACCTTGATCTCAATCACTGAAGTTCCCTCCAATGAAGAAAACCTGACCTCAAGAATAGCAATACTGAAGCATAACGATCCTCTACCTTTGAAGTTTAAGCATTAAAGTAGGAGCTGAAACTTGTAGCCAATGAGATTCCACTTCCTTAATCTGATTTTAGTTAGGGGGAAGTTTATTCTCTTGTATACAGGTAAATTTATCTAGAATAATGAAATTGACAAGTGACAGTTTATATGAAAATACCAAAAATTTATTTTAGAACATAGAAACCGACCATATTCTTGTCCATTGATTTGGTTTTATGCATAATCTTATCGTCTTGTTCATTTGTATTCTTCTGGAGCACAGTATCAATTACATCCATCATTTCTCACCTCACCTTGTTGGTCTTCATAATAAACTTCACAAGAGTTTTTCATTAAAAAATACATAATATATATTTAGTCTGTTAAATTTGATTACTGTGATCTTTTGAACTTTTCATAGACCATTAGCCACAAAGTTGAGACGCTCAACCCTGTCACTGTGATATTGTATATTTGCAACACGTTCAGTAGTAGGCAAATGTTATTCAAAGTAACCGTATATGAGAACGGTTGCTTTGTGTAAAATAGTGCCAAAGATCAATTTTATTTCCAATCCACTAATCAAGCACCACGCTTAGGTGGGTTAAACTCCTGGTAATGGTTATTTTTTTCTCTCAATCTTGATTTTAAGCCTTAGAACTCGTGAATTTAAGCCATTTTGCAGAAAATTCCATCTGCATTGGAACTAAATTTTGAAAGTTTTCAACTTTAATCCAAGAATTTATTTGGGTCCATCTTCAATTGCAGCCATCGAACTCTATACTAGGCTACATTACCTTCATTAGTTTACTATTAAGGGTGGCCATTCATGTTGGCAGGTGATGTTAGTGTTGTGTCGACGTAATTATATTCTGAAATATAGGTCAACATGAACACCACTCGTTTAAGAATCGCGTTAGGAACTCTTGACACGAACACGACCTACTTATTAAACAGGAAAAATGACATGGCCCGTCCGTTTAATAAATGGGCCATTTAACTCACAACATGACACAACCCATTTAATAACCTATTTAATTTATTAACCTGTTTTTTAAAGTATAATGTAGTAAAAAAAAAAAATGAGATAATGGGGTACAAAAGCTTAAAAATTAATGCTTATTTTGATAGCACAAATTATCTATTAACTGTAAGATAGTTATTTTGTAGAGTACATAAAAAACCTATATTGATTATGGAGGGAAAACATTATAAAATAGCTAAAATACAGTAAATATTTTCTATTTTCCAGATAGAAAAACCCCTATACCATTGTAGCCAGTAATAGCATGACTTCCCATGCCTATAACCATGAAATGTGAGGAATATTAGAAGTTCCTATACTAATTTCATTGTAAAATTCAATGAGTGAAAACAATGTGTTTCCCTTCTGTTTGACAGCCTAGGACACTGTCATAGAACAGGGCAACAAACCAGTTCACTTAGAAGCTCAAGCAAATGTCAGTGAATTCATTAGGATCAAAGTTTTAAAGAACTATAACACAGCAATTCATAACAAACTAAATATGACATATACCAGGAAAGGAAATTGCAAACTCCATGTAAAGCATAAAATGAAGCAGAAACTTAGCATTCCATAAATCTTTTATTAGGGACAGTTAACCAGATATGGGATCAAATTCAATTTTAAACCACGTCTCTAATGAAATTATTAAACAATACTCACTTCCCCAGCATTAAATATAAATCTTTGTTTGTCAAAGAAAAGCAATACTGATGGCGATGTGTCATGAGTATCCATTCCAGTACCCATAATCTGCAGCATTCATTCAAAAACAATTCATGAATAATAATTTGATGTACAATGAAGAAAAGAACCAGGATGATAAAACAGTCCGGTAATTCAGAATCTATACTGAAATAATACAATCCAGAAATCCCAAATTCTGTCATATTACCAATTTTGAACCCAAAAAAATTACAATAATAGCAATAAGAAATCCCACAACCCAAGTGCAAGATCAGCTATTGGATTTGGAGCAAAAATTAGAATCCACGAAGTATTTTCTTTTTGTTGAACTCAGAAGATATCTCAACCATATTAAACATAAACACAGAGATCTCAATGCAGAGATGCTAGTTCAGTAAGTGCTTTGTATTAACATTCTTGATAGTTGGTTTCCCTCACCCTTTACTTAATAATAAACTGAAAATAACCAGGATATTTAAGTTTTGACAAACCCCATTTCCCATTGTAATCAGTCAACCAAATAACCAATATAACCAAACAGAACTTGGAAGCTTTTTTCCAATTAGCCGCAAGTCAAACGCAAGAATTAAAACAATCCCAATTGACAGAACCAATAATTAAAGATGCCCAGAAAGGCAAGAACCAGTTTTATACCTGAACATAGGATATGGTATTGACAGGGTTGAGCTTTCGGGCCTTCAACTGAAGGTTCTTCTTTGGCTGGTCACTCTTATCTCTACCCTCAGCCCTTCTCTTGTTAAACCCAAATGGCTTAGTTTCTTCCATTGCAACCCCTTTTTCACTTTCTGTGGATGATGTGTTGTTTCTGCGAGCTATATTGAAAGGACGAGAATGGTGTTTCTTGGAAGAGGAAGAGGAAGAGGAAGAGAAGACAGTGAAAAACGAAGTGGGTCTGAGAGTTGTTGATAGGTTTCTGGGTTTGAAGAAGAGAGAGGATGGTTTAAGAGGAGAGAGAAATAGAGAAGAGGCTAGGAGGCGAAGGCTTGTTATTTGGGGCATATTGTGATTTCAAAGCCCCTGCCCTCTTCTTTGTATAATGGGTTTTAGTCTGCTGTGCGCAGAGGTCTAACTAAAAACCCCCCAACTCTCTCGTTTTGGACAGTGATTGAACTGATATTTGGGTCGGATTCGTTATTCATGGGTTTCATTTCTTACCCGACCCTTATTATTTATGATTCATGGTTCAACACTTCAACTCTCTCGTCTTGGACGGTGATTGAACTGATATTTGGGTCGGATTCGTTATTAACGGATTTCATTTCTTACCCGACCCTTTTTATTTATGATTCATGGTTGGTTTTGATATGCGACGGTAACGAGGAAAAGCACTTTATTTTAATGTGTGGTATTATTGTGTAACAGTATTTAATAAGTTGGTAATAGTATGTTACCTCTATAACTGGTTTAATTAAATTTTTCTCTCGTTAGTTAGACCTTTGTTTTTTTTTCCTGCTTTTCATTCCATACTCTAAGTGGGGATGAAATAAATAACATTTTTTATTTAAAAAGTTAATATACTATTTTTTATAATTTTACCAATTTAACTTTCTTATATCAACTTATAAAAAGTAAACTATCACATCATTGTGACTCACGGCTAAAGTTAAGTAATTCATTCAATAGTACCGTAGTAGTAATACAATAAAAAAATAATATTGTAAAAATTATTCTTTTAACTAATTAATTTTTTTTTTAAATGACACTTATTTTATGACGGGGAGTATTTAACAAAGAAAATAAATAATAATATTAATAATAAACTTATCAATTTTTTCGCAATTTTCTTTCCATACATTTAGCCTCTTGTGGTGCAACGCAAGAGATCATTTTTTTTATTATTGGTTTTGTTGGTCTACTCCCAAGTTATGAGAGTTTTCTTTTTCCTTGAGAGAGAGGATACGGACTTCTATTGTAATATCAAATATATTTTTGACAAGAAAGCAAATTTCTGACGATATTAATAATGCAGGAAACTACTAATTCAACTCTTAAAAATTCTGTGATCTTGGAACGCTTCAAACGCCTTGACTTAGATTTGTTGGGAAGCTTGAGATTTGGTTAATTGGTTGTTTGGTGGGTAGGAATGGAATGAAATAAGTAGAAATGAAATGGGAATGGAAATAGAATGGATATTTGCATTATATTGTTTGGTTGTAAATATGAAATGTGTAGGAATAAAATGATAATAACCATTCTAATATTTGGTGGGTAGGAATGGAATGAAATACAAGTAGAAATGAATGAGAATGGAAATAGAATGGCTATTTGCATTATATTGTTTGGTTGTTAATATGAAATGTGTAAGAATAGAATAATAATAACCATTTTAGTGTTTAGTTATATCAATTTAAAATTTAGAATGTAATAAATTTCAAATTAAGTTCTCTAAAATTTCCTTTTTAGTAACAAATAAATTAAATTAGCAAAATGACATTCTTCTCTAATTTTTTTAAAAATAAATGGTGACAGTGGCGGTGACAATGGTTGCGGAGGTGGAAAGCGATAGTGGCGTAGGTGATGGTGTTGGAAGGCGGGGGTGGCGACAGAGCGGAAGGCGTTAGTGGTGTTGGTGGAAGGCGGGGGTATTAGTGTGGTGGTGGCAGTGGTGGAAGGAGATGGCGGTGTAGGTGACGGTGACGGTTGTGGAAGTCAATGGAGGTGATTGTAGTAGTGGTGGAATGCAGTGGAGGTAGCGATGCTGGTGGAAGGCAGTGACAGTGGTGGTGGAAGGCAGTGAAGGTGGTAGCGATGACGGTGGTGGCGGCGGCGGCAGCGATGGTGGAAGGCGGTGGTGGAAGGTAATGGTGGTGAAGGTGGTGGCTGTGGTGAAAAGCAATGGCGATGACGGCAGTAATGGTGGAAAGCAATAGACAGTGGTGAAAGTCAATAGCGGTGGTGGTGGTAAAAGGCAATGGTAGTGGTGGAAGTCGGTGGTAGTGGTGAAAGGTAGAGGTGATTGTGGTAATTTCTGGACTTAGAACATAAATTTTTTTTAGAAAAGTTGATTTTTAAAAAAATTTATTTGGGAATGAAATGCTCATTCTATGGGTAGAAATAAATTTTTTTTCTTAGGAATCAAGAACGAATTTTATTCCAATGGAAAGACCATAAAAGAATGGTTAGGTTAGAATGGACACACCAAACAACGGAATGGTTTGGTTAAAATGGACATTCATTCCAGCACACAAAAAGCAGAATTAACAATTTAACATATTAGTGAAGTCATTATTACACATTTTGCAATTTTTTTTGCCTTTTTTTGCTTTAAACAAAATAAATTAATTGCAAATAATTTTTAATTTAATTTTATTTATTTATGTTTTTGTTCGGAAAATTCCAAATAGAGGCTGCTTTCAAGAAATTGCAAGACTCTGCATTGGACCTTACCCTTTTTCGAAAGTTCGGCAAATTTGATAATAAATAGTTTTTTGCATTGGGACCCACTATTTATATATTTTATTCTTCTTCTTCGTTTGATATTGAAAATAATGTGGCTTTTGATTGAGAGTAAATAAAGGGTGGAGTATGGTAAGCACAGACAGCTGAAAGTGAAAACAAAGCAGAGATCATAAATAATAGTTATCACTTATCAGCAAAGAATAATAACTCAAAATCAATAAACCCTCCCATTGTTTATACTAGTATAAGCCCGACATTGGGCTTCAGCACAAAATCTAGTTGCTTTCAGGAAAAGGAATGCAAGTAATACAATGGTAATACCCATTTTCATCAAACATAAATCTTTGTGAAAGATGAGCTTCAGGGATAACATACTCGCCCCATTCCTCAGAACCATACTGCTTGAAAATGCCTCGTGCATCAAAGGAATCCCAATTTCGTGTCTTTTTCTTGCTGATCAATTCCGATCCCAAATATTAGCCACAAAAGTGAATAATGAAAAATCAACACAACCCATAGATAAAACTGAGACAGCAAAAGAAATGAAGCGCCAACAAAAGAATAAATAAAAAGCAAGCAAAAGAATAAAATTAGAGCACCTTTTCCTGTGCCTTGCATTCATCACGGTGGCATGCAACTGCAACTCGGAGAGAGGCAAAGCCTTGTTATAAATATTTGAAAGACCAAAACAAGAACAAAGCCAAAAAGGCGGTAAAGAATACAGCAACATACACAAATACTGCAGGATTTTCATAGGTACGAAAGTACAGAAATATTAGCATAACAATTCACAACAGTGTTAGAATTTGGCAAAGTTGAGATCAGGAACCATTCATAAACTTTCGGGGGAAAATAGTTTATAGAAATACAAAACCACCTTTGGCCGGTGAAAGTGACTTCTCTATTTCCAAGCTTTTCTTGGATGAAGTTAAGTGGGACATGAAAATAACTATAATGCTGGACTAGTCCCTAATTGGATTGCAATTTCGAAACCATATATGGAAAGGTAGATTGTGGAAGAACCCACCACATGGTGTTATCTTATGGTTTGTAGATTACATAGTTCCTCTTGTTTGTTGTTTTGAAACCATGTGTTGTTCGGTTGATTATCCCAGCCATAAATCTACAAGGTTCTCTCACGCTATGCTCTCAGCAAATAAGATAACTAGGATGGCGGGACATGAAATATGGAAGAAACTTGTACCCCAATTTGCCTAACGTGTATCACTAACAGCAACAAAAATATATACATTTGCTAGGACATGTCGTGTAGGAATCAATATTTAAATATGCTTTTGCAATTGAATCTCGCAGAAAAAGGCCATAAAATCCATAAAACATGACAAAAGCAGAGCTGGAAGTAAACAGAGAAAGGACATGCAGTTAAAGACACAACTCAGAAGATTAGAGCACATAAAATTAGATCATTATCATCGACCCAGATGCATCAATTAGAAAAGCAAAAGGGGAATAATAGCAATTATCAATACTTAGCATAATATTCACCACAAATATTTAGGACACTGGTAGAACAGCCAAACGGTGTGGCAAAGTGCAACATATTAACTACTTCAATTAGAGCATTGCCATCAAATAGATACTCATGAGACAAAAGAGAAAACAAGGGTATCTAAAGTCATGTCATACCTTCAACTTTTGTTGAGCATCTTTTTCAAGAACAAGACCAGCTTCAACAAAAGCATCAATAATGACTTCTAAGAAAGCTCAGGATAACAAAAAGGAATTCATTACAGTAATATCGACAACCACCAACATTTATGAAAACAACAGCCTTCTGTTTAACAGTTATTGAATAGAATATCATAAAGAAATGGCATAGACGATAAGAAATATGGATACGACAGGCACGCAAGAGTCTGTCCTCGCCCCCGATTTCTTCTATTGGAGCATAGAGAACACGTGCTCTGTTATAAGAACCTTTCATGCATTCCTGCAAGGCCCAAGAACAAAATTCCTGAGAGTACCATCTAAGTAATAATCAGTACACAATGATTAGAAACCAAAACAGCATTCCCCATCTTCAGATACAATAAGAAGAAGTCACCATCCACTTGATGTCAATATTAAGGTAGTCAAAATAGCTTAGAAAAGTAATTTGTGAGAAAAAGTATAACATTTTCAGGGGTCCAACAGGCCATGTGCGATTGTATGTGAATGAAGGTGGTGGGAATAGATGGGCTTGGTGGGTGGTAAACTGATAGCCAAAATTATATAAACAGAGACCATAATGCAAAGATCTATTTCTGACACGGTTGATTTAGATTCAGTATTGAAAGTTTATTGAATTTTCCCCAATAACCAAAGACTTTTTTTGTAGAGGAAGGGCTCAAAACCATGGGGACACACTCAAGAGAGACTCCCATGAATATTAGTATTCACAAAAATTAGCTTAAGGGGATTAAGCATCGACATTGATGTCGTCAATGTAGAAACGGTAGGACAGAGGCCCAGATAGTAACAAATTAAGCATGACAATAGAGGGGGAAGCTGGCGATACTCTATAGGCTGTTGTTCAATGAGTTCCTGAAGACTATGAAAAAGCTACAGAATTGTAAAATATTCTCTAATGTGTCCTAAAAGAAAATAATAAAAGGCTATACCAATATCAATAGAACAACAGTCTATTGAGAAAATGTACAAAAAAGCAGCAAGTACACAAAATGAGTTCAGATAGAAGTTAGAGTTGGAAAAGAGCCTTTTTGCTTTTCTTCTTTTCCACATTTTCTTTTTACGAATAAATTGACTACTTGAGTCACAAAGGTCTTCTTGGTCATGAAGCTATTCACAGAACTATTACTAAATCCAAGCATTCAACTTTATAAATCCCACCATTTAAGACCTTAGTGTTGTGTGTAAAAATATTTTTGGTCATCCAACAAAATTTAAAGGCACAGTATCCTCCATCATGGGCCATTAATCTTCCTCAAGACATTGCTCATGTCCTTTGTATTCAACTTGGATGAAACCACTCTCCCGTAAAATGTAATATTGGTCTTTCTAGCGACTGAAAAACCCATCCTAAATAACTTTGTATTATCTTCCAATGCATTTTGGGGCATGAAATAAGGAGAGAATTCCTTTAAAAAAATAAAACAATGTATGTTGATTAGAACTGAAGTCTAGGAAATAATTAACCCTCAATAACACACTCTCTTCTCTTTTTGTTAAATATCGTTTCTATTCCAGATCTAAGTAAAAACTGAATAACAACATTGTTGATTTTATATATATATATATATATATATATATATATATAGCTCATTTACATTCCAGATAAAGTGAATAACTATTATTCATAAAGCCACAATCAATACAACTTTGAGGTAATCTATAGATAGCAACTTCAAATCTGAAATTGGAAAACAGGAAAAAGGACAAAAAGTACTCATCAGTCACCCAGAACCTGAAAATGAGTGAAAACATTCATTAACAAAAAACCAACCAATAACAAATTTTAAAGATTTTTGGAGTATAAGCTAAACAATCATCTCAAACTCATAAAGCAATAACAAATTGTTGAAGGATATAAATATTAAAGTTGCACCCTCTCCAACAGCTTAAGCTTTTGGAGTAGACGGTTGTTAACACGGTATCAGAGCCAAAGGTCTCGAGTTCAAACCTCACCGTCACCCTAATTAAAAATTGAAAAACACGTGTTGGACCAAAAAAATAAGGCCACACGTGAGGGGGCGTGTTGAAGGATACAAATATTAAAGTTGCAACCTCTCCAACAGCTTAAGCTTTTGGAGTAGATGGTTGTTAACACAAATTCTATATACTACTAGTGATACAATGGATCTTACCAGCCCTTTAAGCTTTATAAAGACAGGCCGATTGTCCAAGGCATCCATTACTCTTGAGGAGACACTCTGAATAAGGACATGAAACATTTTTGTTCATCAACCAGATATTGCCATGAACCAATATTCATTTGCTTGTAGAAGCTTACCTGCAAAACCTCAGCAGCGGCATTAACTCGATCCTTGTTCCACAACTTCAGCATAAGTACGGTTAAGTGAAACGTTTTTGGTTTAATAAATATAGATTTCTCAATACCCAGATCTATCATGTGAAAGGTACATCAGTTAAAATTTGTTGAAGAAATAAAAATAAGATAAAGATGTGAGAGAAAAAACAAAAGATCAGTTGATATACAGGCAGATGACCTTCAATGTACTAGGAATAAGTTTACACATGAAATTCTTATGATATACACAAGCATAAGTAGGTAGCACAAACAATGAAAAGGAAATAAGGATTCAAGCCTTTGTGATTCGTAGACTAACAATTGCATAACATATTTAAGAGATTTTGTGTGTGCGCGCACATGCGGATAGAGATAGACTGCTAGCGGTGATTAAATGAATGCGTAGAACTTCCCCACAGTCGTATAATACAATTGCTTTCATACCTGATAAGGCAGAAGACTGTATTTTGTGATCAGCAGATGAAGTGGAAGACTTTGATGTTTTAGGTGGGTAACTTACACGACGTATATTGGTTAAACCCAATTTAACATGTTCACTATCATTGTTGACTGTAAGTTTAACTGAAACATCACTTGCTCTATCTAACAGCTGGTCCTTATCATCATCTTCTGAAGCACATTCGTTTGAATCACTATCCAGACTCTCATCTTGGTTAGGATCACTGATTCCCAGTATGCAGTTCTGAAAATTGAAGAGCTTATCAACCAGTTCAGCATGTAAAGCCAGGGGAAGCGACACGAAGTGAGAGTAGTCAAGACGTGGGCTTTTAACTACCTGTGAAAAATAGCTGTATAAATCATATGTTGCCTGCGCATGCTAAAGATGACAAAGAAGTGCTTGTATAAAACTAATAAAAGACAATTTATAATATATACAAAATGATAAATACTAAACTCATACAGCTTAAGCAGTTGATATGAATATTCAAGGAAAAAAAAAAGAAAGGCAGCACGTGAAACAAAATTGAAAATAATAATAATAAAATCTGAAGGATAGAAGGAACAAAATGAACATATTTTGAGCAGCATCAACAAAATTACCCTTTGTGCCCACACAATTAATAAGACATTCCTGTAAGCAATAGCTAAGGCATTACACAGCAGCCGCTTAATCCTACTTTTATATTTCTTCACTACTTCACATATTAAGCATGGCATAGTTCATCAATGAATTGCGTAAGAAATTGAAATTTACATGTGAAAATTACATTTTAAACTCAAAAAGGTTTTTGTATGTTCAATTACCCAGACAAAACACAAGCGAAAAATCAAAATACATTAATGGGTAACTGACCTCATCAACTATGACTTGTACTTTTGCCAGAGCTCTAGTTACATCTTCAGTAGAAATACCTTCAATGACTGCAGCACACATTCAAGAGTTGAAATTAATAAAAAATTAGCTGATGTTGTCAACCCATCACAAATTTCATTTCAAACTGAAAATTTATAATGAAGGAACCAGAACTACAGGATGAGAACAATCGTGCTTCTCTCCTCTAATAATGTTTTCAACACATTTAAAGTAAGATTACAGACACAACAATTACTCCCATGTCAAACACATTATGGTAATGAGATAACTAAATGTCAATGGCAATGACAAGATGGTCTGGAGAGGATAGAAAAAGTGGAATATTGATCAATAAAGTAAAAAAAATGAATGACGATAAGGGTTCAGAAATCACCCCGAAAAAGTGGATAGGGAAAAGGAGTGAAGATGGAATAAGAGAATTACAATAATTTTATAGGACTATTTAATATGTGATATATCATAAACGCAGAGATAAAGAATGTGAAGTAGAATTAACAATAATCAACAAAATAATTTTTGGAATGCAAGATAAGAATTAAATTTAGATCAATTAAGATACAATAACAAAAAGGGTTGGAAATTTTGAAGTATTAAAAGAACAGTATAATCCTAACAACCATATACAAGGTAAAAATGACTTATGATAAAACAAGAAACTTACTGATAGAATCCTCCTTCTTTGAGGAGGGAAATATGATTTTAACACCCATTTCCTCTTCAATTTTTTTCTGTGTAGATCCCCTGTGAGAGGAAAGAAGAAGTGAAATAGATATATGCATGCATGTATATATATTTTTTAATCGAAGAGAGATGACATGCTGAAAGTCATACTCTTTTCCTTTGATGAAACGCATTAAGGAAGCTCCTATCTGCATAGAAAATACAAAAAGTGAGAAACACACATAGAAAGAGACTTGACTAATTAACACCCGGCCATTGCTTACACTTGCAACATAGGGGGGAGTGATCAGCCGATTTTTATGGACAAGCCAAAGAAAAAACATGGAAAAGGTAAAAAATAAATAAATGAATAAATAACAAAGAAAGAAAGAAAGAAAGAAAAATATCAACCAAAAAAATGCCGGAGTTAGAAGGAGCAGCATGTTCATCATATATTCAAAAGAAAGCAAGTAACCATTAAAAAAAAAAACTCATGCCATATAATTAGCAATCAATGAGCAAGTAATTCAGTTTTAAGGAGCCAGTAAGCAAAAGTATCCACAGAGAATGACCACTATTCACAGGGTTTAATAATTTAAACCTTACCTCCATTGACATTGAATGCTTTTCAGCAGAAAGCAATGGTTCACGTCCTGGAACTCTGCCTTCATCATTATCCTGCAATTCTGCAGAACTAAGAGTTGTCTCAGCTGGTTCATTTGCTACTTCAGATTCCTCAGGGGCGTGTTGAGCATTTGAAGCACCACTATAAGTGCTATACTGTGCTTCTTGGACATGATTTCCAACTTCTAGCTTTCCACCATCCTCCACATTAGGCAAAATGTTAAACTCAACCTTAATATCCTTCACCGAACATCCTGCAAATTCACATATATATATTTTTGATAAGTACAAATTCACATAAAATAATGGGCAATCTTTGACATAACTCAACTGTCACAATCTAATGATTTCAACATACTTCCTACAAAAATATTTATTGGTTCTCAAGCCTTTATCACATGGAAAATAATACTCCGTATCAAAGGTTACAGTAGATAACTAAAGCAAAGCAATAGAGAGAACCACACAACCTGACAGCTTCTATCACCAGAGTAGAAAAGCTTATACACTGTTGGAACTGTTATATCACAAATATGTTCATTCCTTCTCTTTGAATAGAATAAAATAGAAGGGAAAAAGCGAAAGATATCATGGAACCAAACAGATCATAAACATGCATTATGTAGTAAAATAAAGAGTAAGGTAAGAAAATTGTTATACTATGAAACCTCACCCTCATTAGAACTAGATTGAGTACAAAGTGGTTTCCGTCTCCATGTGGGAGTGTACTTTTTCCCTTTTTTCCCATCCATCGCACTTTGTGTATCTTTTGTCCCACCCAATATCCAATTATAGTTCAGACTATGATGAGAACAGCACTGCAGTAACACAAGTTAGTGTGTGGCAAGATTTAAGCTAACAGCCGACTAAAATAAGTGTCAAGACAAACTATAAACATTTATTCATATTTAGTAATTTGGTTGCATTTGTAGGACATGATAATAATCTTACAAAACATTTTTCTTCTTTTGGGCTGCCAATACCCAACGTAGATCCTATTAATGATAAAATTAGAGAAAGTAGACTAAAAGGTTAGGTCACATACAACGTAGATTCGAAGATGCATTGGTTGGACGAGGAAGAATTTGCCTAGAAGGTAAGTAACAAAGAGGTTGACTAAAATTTTACATGGGATGATGTAATTAAAAATTAATTTTTTTAAAAAATCAAATATTAGAAAGAGATAGTGTATAATAGAAAAAAAATGATAAACGATAATTCATGTGGCTGACTCCATATGGGATAAAGGCTCTGATGATGATGAATTGATGAGGATGATGGTGGGCAGCCAATACCCTATGGCATCATACAATATTATAAACACTTATTCCACATGAGGCAATATTTTTCTTTAGGCTCCGTTTGGTTAGATGGAAATAGCAAGAAAGGAAAAGAAATGGAAAATGAAAAGAAAAGTGAAGTGAATGAAAAGATAATTGATTTTCTAGTATGTATTTGGTTAGGAGGAAAATTTCTTCAAGAAAATTGTAGGAAAATATGGTAGTATAGTTTGGATACCTAAATTACCCTTATTTAATAAAGTAATAAAATATATTAAAAAAATGATAAAGTTTTCAATTAATTTAGACCTTTTGAATTACTATTATTCATATATGATGAAAAATAACTAGGAATGGAAATCAAGTTAATTAAAAATTTATCAATGATAAAGTTGTTAGTGGACTCCAATTCTTTGAAACCTAGTAAAAAATTGTTGTTGTTTCCAAATATAAAATGAAGTTGTCGGGTAAAATAATATCAATGAAGTTGTTGGGTAAAATAGGAACACTAAATAAAAAGACATGCTGTCGCTGGAAAATAAAATTTCCCCGTGTTTTGTGAAGGAAACATTTTGGAGAAAATAAAGTGTTACAAGAATCCTAATTTTCTAGAACTTTTCCGTTTCTATCTAACCAAACTATTAAAAAAGTTTTAAAATTTTTTATTTCCTTTCTTTTCCCATTGATTCTATCTAACCAAACAAAGCCTTAGTAAAATGCGTATATGCTTCTTAAAAATTCTTCCTTTCAGTAACTTTTGAAACCTATGATGACCAATAAAACTACCTGAAATTCCTCAGTAAATTTGGCTTCAAAAGTGTCATAAAAATTGGGATTGGATACTCCAATTCCAACTCTATTGTTTGGCTGCTTTTGGAAACAGCAATTCTAGAGAAATAAATTCAAATTCATAGAATCCAAATTTGATAGATACAACCACCACCACCACCATGCCTTTTTCTGAATTGCTTAGCATCGGCTACATGATTCCGCTCTACTAAATTTCACAGATAAAAAACAGAAAATTCCGCTATTTAAAGCAAGCTTTCATATTTATAGGGAATGGGGTTATTTCTAAAGAACCGAAATGGAGAGAATTCAAGTTTCTTTTTTGTTTATTTTCCTATTAGTCCCAGTAGTTTTTTGGCCACCAAACAAAAACCTGAACTTTCTTCTTATCTATATATATCATATAGTTGTAAACAAGAAAGAGAGAGCAGTAAACCTGCAAGTGTGATACCGATATGACATAAGGGTTTGTTAATTTCCAAGCGCGATCGACTCTGCGATGCAAAATTCAGTGAAGATTGAATCATTTAAACCCACAATTAATACGCGTGTTACGAATATGAGATTGTTCCCCACAAATATATGTATCGGTGTGTGTTTGTTGAGTGTTGAAATGAATCCTAGAGACTTCGCAATACAGTGATGTGGCTTGGGAAAGAGAAGCAAGTTTTTAGAAACTGAAGCTAGGGTTTGGAGATGATAAAGCTTACCTGAAGAGTGACCTGCAATGATTCATCAGCGGTGATTACAGTGAATACAATAACACTGATTTTTTAATGGTTTTTCGTTCGGTTACGTGTGAAGTGGATATGCACTGTTGATAGAAGGAACATATCATCTGCAGCCGCCAACGGCCTAGCACTGCCAAGCCTAACTTTTTAAAGGATGGTCAAAACATACGGGAATATGCAAAGTCGGTAGCAAATTACGACAAGACAATGAATTTGATTTTGGCATAAATGGATTTAAGTCATTAAAAAGTCGACACGATTAATTCATTTATGCCAAACTCATACAATACAGCTAATGCTTTTACTTTTCAACTTTTACTTTTTTTTAAACTAAAATCATGATTTTCATTTCTAAAAATAAAATACAAGTAAAATCATATTCATTAACTTTTCATTCTTTTAATACTTTCAAAACAAGAAATTAAAAAGCAAGTTCAATAATTATAATTTTGATTTCTCACTTTTTGTAACTTGCCAGAATTGAACCCACTAGAAAGGAGAGAGAAATCAAAGAGAGTATCAAACCGTAGTTGATCACCTTATTCTTCATCATCAATTCAAAGTAGGTCTAGAGAACCCAGATTTTCAATCATCCCCTTTTCGACCACCAGTTTCAGCAGTCATTTGCTTGGTCTTTCCATTTTTTGATTTTTTGATTTTTTATTTTTTTTGTCTTTAAGCCCAAAAATTTTCTATCTGAATTTTGGGGCATTTTGTTGTTTCAGTTGGTTGGAATCCATCTCAAATTTTTTGGCATTTTGTTTGTTGTTTTGGCTCAAGGTGGGTTTGCCCAGTCAATTTTTCGGTGTTCTTGCAGCTCCTGAAATTGGATTTGATCCATTGCTGCTTCTGAAATCTATTCTGGATGCCTGGGCTTTTGAGTTTTGCATTTAACTTGACATTTATATCCAATTTCTGCATGTGAATATTGTAAACCAAGTCCCAATTTGTGTTTCTGTTTCAAATTTCTACAAACAGAATCACATTATGCCCTCTTTTTTATTCTTCTTTTAACTCTGCAACTTCGAAGGGAAGATAGGGGTAAGAGAAGGGAAGATGAATTCTAGCGGCAGTGTAATACCCCTAATTTTTAAAAAAGTATAAAATTGGAATTTCAATTATCTTTATTGCATTTTTATGTGACTAGTTGCTTAAATGTTTAATTGTTTTATTTGTTTTAAACTGTTAGTCTTGTATTGGAATTGCCTTATTTGGTTAAATATATTTTAATTAAATTAATTGTATTTTTTGTTGCTGTAGTTACTTTAATTGTATTATTAATTATTTTCTTGTATGGACGTAACTGTTTATTTAGATTAAGTGCATGACTTATCTTTTAGGGTTTTAGTATTTTTATGGGCTTGCCGACATAATTAATTGGGTTTTAAGTTTAGGGTTTTTTATGGACTTTGGAGTTGGAATTAGTTATAAATATATAACTTATACGTCCCTAGGGTTTGATAACCCTATTCACGACACAGTGAAAATACAAAGAGTTTGGAGAGAATTGAACGAAAGAAAAACAGAACAAAACTTAGAAGGAGAACAGAGAGGGCCAAGGGAGAGTTGTGGTGGATTAAACCAAAACCATAGGAGGCTTGAAGGTGGTCAGTGGTTGCCGGAAATTAGGAAGACGACAACACAATTTTGAGACCAAAGCTACAGGCAAGTTCTTCTACTTTCTCCTTCCCTTTGGCTTATGTTCTGTGCACCTAGGTAGTCTCTAGGGTTAAATAAATTATAAACTAAAACTTACATGTTAATTGTATGTTATATTGATAATCTGTTTGGGTTGTAATCGAATCTATTACAGTATTCGTACACATCTGTTTTCAGTTTTGTTGGAAAAGCTTGTTAGTCCTGTTGTAATTTTAGACTCTAGGGAATTTGTTGAGTCTTAAATGGATTTTGCATGATTATTATATGTCAAATTTCATTATCGGTTCTCTGAGAAATTGGTCTGAAATAAATTCGTTCTTGTCTGTTCCAGTTTTGCTCTTTAAGCGTGCTAGTAAATTGCTTAGTTAAATCTCTATATTTGATTTCAAATTGTTGTTCTAAAACCATTGGGAGTCTGTTTTGGTATTAATAAGACCTTAGGATAAGTTTTAGAAATCAACTGAAGGGTGGACATAGGCCAGAGAAGAAGCAGAAGGACGAGGACGGAGCAAACGGGGACTGGAAGCTCTCAAATGAGGTGAGAGCCGGCTCCATGGATGTGGGAGCCGGCTCCCATACTCATTGAGCCGGCTCTACATTCTTAGAGCCGGCTCCAGGCTCAAAAAGAGCCTGCTTTTGGAATTTAGAGTAGGCTCTTTCAAATAGTGGGTTTCTGGAATTTTTTTTTTTTTTTTTTTTTTTAACAAACTGTTTGCAACTGTTGGAGCATGGGAACTGTTTGGATGGGTCTGGGTCTACACAGAGGTATTAAGAAATTTATTTTGGGTGTAATTAAGACCTTAAGTTGATTAATGTTGACCTTTAAGTCATTGGGACAAACAGTATAAAATTAAGGAATTTTTTACGCTGTTAACGGATAGAAGAGAAATAAATTGCTTAACTAAATTTCAGCAAATGTTATGGGATTTAGTAAGTTGCTAAAACTTATTTTATATGCACGGTGAAGTATTTTAATTAATCAATTGGACTTGTGGCATAGTGTATGGCTCTGTGCTAAAAGATGAAACAGAATACGAGTATACAACTTAGTACGCTGTTATCGGACGAAAGGAACTAAATTGCCTAGATTAGTTTAAGAATTGATTGGATTATAATATGATTATAAAACTTAATTGTAATGCATGATAGAGTCATTGATGTATTAGATGTGATCTACGCATGCTTTGGATGTTAGTTGTTGAACCTTTAAACCGTTTCCTGCAAATACATGGTTTAACTCTTGGATTTAAATTGCTGAAACTATAACTAGTCTCCTGCAAGTATTTGGGATGGTTCTGGATTGTAAATTGCTAAACTGTTAATTGTGTGTTGTAATTTACATGGGTTAGATGTTAATTATGGAATCTTATATATTATTCTACAGTTAATTGGATTATGGTTTTGAACTGTAATTGTTGTGACATTGTATAAACTATTCTGCAATGATATGGATAATTGGTTTTGGACTGTAAATTACTTGCTTATTATTTATATGTTGTAATTTACATGGATATGGAGGATTGTATGCACCGGTATGGGACGGTGACATACTAGGTATGGTTTAGCTCAAAACGCTCATTCCTACCTTATGGATTTTAATTGGTGAACAGTTTTACCTGTTCAATCAATTATATGGATTTTGTGGATTGTATGCACCGGTATGGGACGGTGTCATACTAGGGACAGACTGATTCAAAATACTCAGTCCTACTTATTTTGGAATAAGGGTACGAATTATAAAAACATAATTCTCCTTATATTTAAGTCTGTGCAGTTGAATAAGCTGAACGACTTACTGGATCTCTTATATAAGTCTGTGCGGCTGAATAAGCAGAACGACTTATTGGATTTCTTATGGATGGATACAAACGGATTTTAAATATATGGTTATGGTACCATGACATGAGCTTGAGTCTTGATCGGTTGGTCAATTAAACATCAACCTTCGCAATAGCACGAATCATTGTAAAATAGGGCTATTGGTCGGGTAAGTCGAACCACTGGGACTGCGCTAGTCTATGGCAACCTAAGTGTCTAGAATTGTTCTTAGAATGATAAGGGGTTTATAGAGGTTTTGTTGGATGTCACTTAAGCTAGGAAAGTAAAAGTGCATAAAACAATAAATTGCAAGAATTCAAGGGAGTGAAGTACAAGTAAAGAAGGCTAGGGAAATGATTCCACCTCCATCCCTATACACATGCTAGGTTAAGATTAATTTAAGGGAAAAACAACATATATGATAGTCATGATACATAACAATACTAGGTTACTATAATATCCTCAAGAAGTTCATTTAAATAGGAAGGCAAGAATAAACCATCAAAGGTTCACATGATCAACTACCTAAACTAAAATGTAGCTTAGAACATGCTTACTAAGTCAAGGATTATCAAGCCCTAATTTAAATGGTGAATGCACATAAAGCAAAGAATCAAGTATAGACCATCAAAAGGAAACCCTAAGCCATGAACTATCTAGGTTCTCCAACTCCATGCCATTAAAACCATTCCATGATCTAACTTCCATTGTCACCATGGAAGTGCAAGCAATATGATTAAGAAAAGTAACCATCCAAGACAAGATGAATAACTCACAATAATCATTTATAAACATTCAACATTCATTACAACAAAAATGAGGCTCTTGATCATGGAAAGACTATCAAAAATACATTGTAATCCCCAAAAATAAACTATACTAACACATGCTTACAAGGGAGGGGTTTCATCACCTCCCTAGATGAGGTTTAGTTGCCCATTGGTGAGCTAGAAGAAGGAAGAAGCATCATCCTCATCTTCATTTTCGTGCACCCTCTTTGGAGCTTGAAGAACCCCTCTCTCTTGCTCTCTTCTCTCTCCTCTCACTTGCTAGAATATATGATATTGTTTTGTGTGGTCCTTCCTCTCTCTTATCAAGCTCAAGTCAAGGCTCTCTCTCCTCCAAGGAACACCTCCAACCACTTCATAAAGAAGGAAGATGGCATTGAGGAAACCAATGTGCAAGTGGCTGAAATTGAGCCATTTCCAAGTGCAATCTGCCTGATTTTCGAGCACTCGAAGAGTGGTCTCGAGCACTCTAAATTAGTGTAATGTGTAACATGCTCTTCTTGCTCAGCACTAACCTACTTTGGTAAAACTACTATAACTTTGTGCCCCGAACTCCGAATGATGATATGTTTGAAGATTTGGAGAGCTGATTCAGTGCTTTAAAAACTTCATGTTTTGATGAAGACCCAATTCTCAAGTCTGGTTGGTCAAAAATGGGGAGAAAGGCAGTACTTCAGTGCTGCCAGGCTGTTCTGCGCACCTCTGTTAAGAAGATCATAACTCTCTGCTCCAAACTCCGAATGACGAACCGCTTGAAGATTTGGAAATCTGATTCAGAGCTCTAAATCTTTCATGTTATGATAGAAGTCCAGTTCTTGAGTTTACTAGGTCGAAAATGGCGACAAAATTCAGGATCTACTGCTGCCAGAAATTCAGAATTGGCACCC